TACCTGCAATGTCTAGCAGATTTTCCATATCAAAATAAGGGTATTTCTCTTTGACAGATGATAAGAGCTCCGATCCCTGGACAGATGAGAGCTCCAATTTCTGGACAGACATTATATTTCCAACTTTAATCTTTTTACATATTTTTCTATGTCTAGTCCTACTCCTCTTTTTCTTTTTTCGACCTTAAGCACATTCTCATCTGAGTTTTCAAAAAATACAATGATCCTGCCATCCTGCTAATCTCAATAGGCCGATGGCCAACAAGCTAACCACTACCCACCACTAACTGCATCTGCTATTTTGCTGTTATGTAAATATTCACACATTCTTGTTACGAGCCATGTTCTCTAGACGATTATCTTTTCTAACCACTATTTGTAATGTCCTTATATAATATTTTTTTCATTCAAAAAGTGCCTCTTGACTTTTTAATTATTAAAATAATTTCCCATAAGAACCTCTCGATTTTCATCTATTTCCATAAGCGCCCCCTCAATTTCCCCTCTGTTTTCATAAGTATTGATAAATTTTTGTGTCGACTTGTTTTCATTTACTGTAATGGAAATCTATTCGAATGACGTAGGTTGTATTAACCGACTCTTTCAGCTGGTAACATATCACGGTGCCTTTTCGACATTATAATTTATTTTCCGAACTTTAAAATTAGTTGTTCCTTGCACTTAGCAAGACTAGTAATTTTTAGTTGATTTAGGGCAGTAACAAAATTTTGATAATTTTGACAAAGTATAATTTTGCATGCTCGCTTTTGCAACCTCTCAATGTAGTTAGACTGGTGTTTAGTAAGACTACAGTGCCAAACTACACGTGCATACTCAGTCAGTGGCCGGATATAGAGTTGGTAAATACTAAGCATGTCCCCAATTGGGACATTATAACCTCTCTCAGTGCTGACAGAAACATTCTTTTACTTGCTCTAGAAATTATACAATTAACTCGTACATCCCAATGTAAATTGTCTTGTAACTCAAGTTCTAACAACTTTATATTATGGACAGTATCTATATTTTCACCATTTATAGTGTATTGGGGATAATTGATCAGGGACTTCATGAAATTGATAATGATAACATGACATTTGGCTGGCTTGGGCTGCATGTCATTATCTCTACACCAATTACCTGGAGAATCCAGTTGGGTTTAAAGTTCTGACGTGTATCTTTTGTATTAACTATTTCTCCTGGGGTTAAATCATCGACAAATTTCCAACGATTTTCAGTAGTGGTTGCTGCATCATTTACCATAACTGTAAATATGTTGGTTCCCAATTTGTTACCCTGGGGACACCACAAGTAATAGTTTTAAGTTCGGAAACATGTCCTTTGAATTTATGAATGGGCCCTAACTATTTCAGCAGTTATGACGAAAAATCGTGCACTTTATGATCAAAACATGAAACTTGGCACACATGTACTATGAACCATAACTAATATCTCACGTCAACAGCACCCTCATTCGGCCAATTAAAAGCGCCCTCCAGTGGTAAAAAAAACACTGACATTTCTATTTTAGTCATATTTATGGCAGTTTTCCTTTCAACTTTAAAGTTAGATTTAAGCAACATTTTATGGTATTGAGGAACAAAAGACAACGGTTAATTGAAGATATTTTTAAAACTGTCAACCGGGTGTTCATGGCATTATTGAAAGACATTGGACATTTAAAAAAAAAAAAAAAAAAAGATCCAATGAAATCAAAAATCTTGTAAAACCATACCTAGGCATGGTACTTAACCAATCTGCTCAATGTAAAAATAAATACATAACTAAAATAACCCCCAGAAACATACCACGATGAACTTTTTAACATATATTTTACAAAATGTTTATTTTTAATATAAATGTATACTTTCGATACCAAAATCCCAGGATCATTCAGATAAAATGTATGACAGTATTCAAGTTCAAATTAAGCAGCTTTTTATGGTATAAAAATGACAACGCATAATCAAAAAGTTTTGCAAAACCATTAACCGAAGTTCATGGCTTTATTGAAAGACATTCAGAATTTAGAGAAAACACAAAGATGCGTTATCCCATGCAAACCTCAAATTTCCAAGGACAAAACATCTTTAAAAATACATCTTGGCAAGGCACTTTAACAATCAACTAGGCAGAAAATGATATATTAAGGATTTTACTTCGCGAGGTAGGTACGGTAAGCTGTTGACGCTACGGTTCGTAGTGCGGAAAGAGTGACTGAACGCGGCAAGGTGCCTAGGGAATTTAGCCTAGACCCCCTTCGTAAATGTATTTTTATCCTGGCTGCTTGTTCAGGATGCAATAATTTATTTTCAAAATTATTCATAAAAAATATTTATAAATATAAAAATCTATAATTGGAAATAATTTATTTTATTTATTTTTAAAATAATCTTACAACACTAAAATAACAGGTTATTTAGAAGAATTTCGGTCCGTAGTGCGGAAAGAGTGACTGAACGCGGCAAGGTGCCTAGAGAATTTAGCCTAGACCCCCTTCGTAAATGTATTTTTATCCTGGCTGCTTGTTCAGGATTCAACAATTTATTTTCAAAATTATTCATAAAAAAATATTTATAAATATAAAAATCTATAATTGGAAATAATTTATTTTTAAAATAATCTTACAACACTAAAATAACAGGTTATTTAGAAGAATTTTTTAAAATTATCTTTTAATTGGTATTAATCATTATTGTATTAATCCGCCTTTAGAAAACGTTATATTTAACAATATTTCTGACACTTAAAAC